TAATGCACTATTACCTATAAATAAAATACCTTGCTTTTTGATATTATTATTTTCTGTTTTAAATTAAAAATAATAAATTTATTTTATAATGTTTTTCTTTTTCTTTTATTTTTTTAAATTTGTTTTTGTTCTGTTGCATGATGTCAATTCATTTTTTTTATTTAAATAAAATATAACAACATAATTATTTTTTTTTCATGTTTACGATTTTAATTTTAATTTCTATCCACAAGCAACAGGTGCCTTGTGCATTTCATACAGTCTTGTAAAAAATACTTTTGACAAAGTATTAAGGGGGTTCGAGGCGGTGATTTAATAAGGGGTCGTGTATAGGCAATTCCATGTATTATAGTCGTTTCGCAGTGTGTTTGCGTGCGAAGTAAATGATCATTGGTGTGCGTAGATACGTTCGGAATCAGTGGTTCGCACCCGCATGCACATGTCACATAATAAAATATTTGTTCCAACGAGAAACTAATTTCAATCAATTGAGACCTAAAAGCCTGACAAAAATACGATAACTTGGAATGATCGGATTTTAGTTCTGTAAACATATTATTTGAATTCATCGTTCTTTTTTCTAGGTTATTGTGGGAGTCGATTTTTGAATAACTGTTTAACTTTTTAAAGAAAGACACAAACAATTTTCAAAAAATTGAGAAATCGAAATATGATTTAATGTGAATTCTAAAAAAATATCGAAAATTGATTCCCACAATAACCTATGAAAATTGTCAATGAACTCGAATCTTTTTACAGAATTGAAATCTGATAATTCTAAGTAGGCGTATTTTTGTCAGGCTTTAGGTCTAAATCATGAAATAAATACGCTGCTTCGAATCCCCTTAAGATACTAATACTAGTATTCGAATAAAAAAGTATTAAAAATACTTTTAAAATATACATGAAAAAATAAACTGGAATTGGAATTTATTTCCGTAATAAAGAAAATATTGTTTTTATTATTATATATATATTATATATTGTACATCAGTATATTATTTATCTATTATGTTAATACTTATTATAGATGTTAACAATGACTATTAACATGCCTGTCGTCTGACTATTTAGAGATAAATACATGTTCACATATTATTTCATTCTGCATTTAGATATATTTCAACTCATATTGATTAAATGTTAACAAAAAAAAATAAATAAAAAGTGTTAAATATTAACTATTAAAATTATTAGATTTTCAGTTTTCTTAAAAAATTCCAATACAAAAACCATAAAAAATGTTATGTGGTATTTTTTAATTTTAAACATTGTTATTACCTACTTTTACTAAACAAAAATATAATATTAGTTTTCAACAAAAACAATATTATTTTTATTTATGTCAATTTTAGGTGTAAAACTATAAATTAAAATTAATAAAATGGACTTGATGGTATTTTAATACAAGTATTTGAATTTTGTTAAAAATAGTTTTAAAAAAGGTGCTCTGCTGTACAGTAGGTTACAAGTGGGTTACTGTATAATGGATATTATTAAATTTGAATTCAATGATATAATATCATTGTATAAGAAAAACGATTCTGAGCAGAGACGGTATGTCAGTCTAGGTAAAAGACATATTATATACTTATCTATGGTATTAAAAAAAAATTGACCTATAATATTTAGGTACCTATAATAAATTCCAAATTAATCATATAACAATATCCATTAGGTACTTATAACGCGTTATACATAAACAAAAAACCCTGATACTATCATGGATATATAATAGTGGACATTAGAAGTTTCAAGTAGGTACACACAAATAATATTATACAATCACAACAAAATAACTAAAATAGTTATTCTAGGTTTTTTATGGTTAGGTTAATTTGAACTTGAATTAAATGAATATAAAAATAAACTGTGCTTCTGTATTTTTTAGACTTTTTGGTAACAGAATTAACTACTTACGTGGAATCTTGTTTTAAATTTTCAATCCTTAGATATAAAAGTTGAACATTTTATACATTTTTAACTACAAAATAATTATTCAATTTTAAATTTTATAAATTTTGTCAAAATTTGATCTTTAAATGCTTATAAAAAAAAGACTATTTTTCAACTGATACTGTAAAAATATATGAGGAGCCTTGTATTAAATTTTTACACTTTTTAGCCCAACAGATAAAACTTAATTGATATTTATAGAAAAAAAAAAACTAAAAAAAATTGAAAGCTGTAAATGTCCGTAAACAGCTGAAAAAGAGTCAAAATATTTTCAAAATTGTATGGTGTATAGGAAATGCTAATATAAACATTCTGTAAAATTTTCGTGTATCTACAGTTATTCGTTTTTGAATTACAACAAAATAAGGAAATCGCTATATGAGAAATCGAGTGAATATATAATGTTGTAAAAATTTGAAATTCAAACGCTCATAAAAATTTAATTTGACTTTCTTATAGACATTTTTTTTTTTTGATAAAGGTAGATAATCTTATAAGGAATCTTGTATTACATTTTCAAGTCTTAGATTTAAAAAGAAATTTTTTGTTACTAATTCTTATCTCAAAATAATTTACTAATTTTCGTGATTTTTCCATATTTTGTCAATTTTTGAACTTTAAATGGTTATAAAAAAAAATTGTGACCAAGGATTTTTAATATTTTTCATCTGCCTTTGAAACAATATACTAGGAGCCTACTATTTAATTTTCAAGCTCTCGCAACCAACAAATTAAATTTTATTGATATTTCTAGAAAAAAAACTAAAAAAAATTAAAAATGAAAATGTCCCTAAACAGTTCAAAATAAATTAAAGTATTTTGAAAATGTTATCGTGTATAGAAAATGCAAATATAAACAACCAGTGAAAATTTCATGTATATACGTTCATTTGTTTTAGAGTTACACCAAAAACCAAAATCTATTTTTTGGAAAACCCATTTTGCGTAAAAATTCCCGTTTTTCCTTAATTTTTATGTTGTTTTTCCCGGCACTTGTGAAAACTACTGTTAAATTTTTACTTTTGACCCCCCCAAAGTACCAACTAGATTCACTTTCCTATCAGAAAAGATACTGTTGAAGAAAATCCAAGCACTTTTACTGTCCTAAAACGTGATAACGGACACAAAAATAAAAAAAAAATAAAAAAAAAAACACATCATTGTAAAATCAATACATTCATCGTTTCACTCAGAATCTTGTAATAAACATTGTCTCGTGTGTTGGATATTCGGAACTCCCCTTCTTATACTATACTTACTTTTACAAGAAGTTTTTTTCTGCGATTTGCATTGGAACAGGAACAAGGAGAACAATTAAGTAAGTAAAATTTAATGACATAAATAAATAAACGCTTTGAGTAGGCATCATATAATATAAATATATAATAAGTACCAAAACATAGTGTATTGTGTACTAATAATAAACAACAAATACATGCATATTATATTTATATGTATATATTGGGCGCCCAAAAACAATATAATTAATTAATATAGTAAAATATAGTACAATGATACATGAATAAACGTATTGGGTAGGTAAAAGGTACCGAAAAAAAAATAAAAATTATAAAAAACAAATGTACCTGTATGTAGGAATATAAAATTATGTAATGTACATCTATAAATATTAAGCAAGATGTATTATATGACAATTGAAAATATTACAAGGAATAAAGGTGTAGTTAATGACACATAAATACTAAACAAACGGTAGGTACATAGGTATTCGGTAACACAAAAAAAGCGGGTGCCCAAAAGAATAATTAGGTAAATAATAAAAACATAATATGTATGAGTTATGAAAATGTAAAAGGATAAAGGATGTGGGTAACAGCACTTAAATAATAACGTATAATTGGGTATAAGATAGAGAGGTATTCAGTACTGTAAAAAAAAAAAATACAATAATAATATGTAGGTAAATAGGGCCCAAGAGAATAAATAAATAAATATAACAACACTATATTATATAATATGATCATTTTATAAGACGAATGTTGATAACAACATATTTTTATCATCTATTACCGAGACCCGAAATGTGGCAACTCGGCTTGGATATATTATCCAACATGTTCACGTTTGTAATTAATTTCATACTGCCACCGAAGGGCGGCGATGGGTGACGACTTGTGGACACACGGACGGGGGTTACGCACAGATCGGATTACCGGTCCACAAGCTCGCACACCGCAAACACGTTAAATACCTATCGGCAGACCATTATGGTTAATACCTCGCGGATACGTGGTTAGGTTTGGTTAGAGTGCCCGCTCGACGTTCCAGGACGGCCGTGGCACTCACGTGCAGGCTTGAAATGGCCGCGGCGTGATGATGGAGGCGAATGTCAAAAGACGGTGGCGACAAGCACAGCTCAGTTCACCCCGGTACACAGACATGCAGGCCAACGCACACGTGGATCGTTGCTGATGACTTGATTAGACCAATCACGTTCGCGACGATTGACCTGGCACAAAATTCAATATGAAAAAACATCATCATAAAATAATCAGTCCCTAACACAACATTGTAATATTATTATTAATATTACCTAAGCTAATACACATTTTCCACTTAGGGAGCTTTTAAAACACCATAAAAAATTTAATTTCATCAAAATCCCAGCTAACTTATCTTTATAATAATAATAACAGTCAATATTCTCGAGGTGGTTAGACTCAATATTGTGAAAATCAATATTATGCAGTTATTAAACAGCTATTAAAGGCAGCTGCTGCCCTCGTTCGCTTTGGTGTTGCAGGTGGAAGCGATCCAAAAGGCGTCCAACTTTTGAATGGTAATATTATTACGGTACGCTATACTTATTATTATTATTATTTCGTGGATTATTTATAAAGTAAAATGTTTCTATGTTCTATTAAATATATAAATAACAACGAAACCATATTATAATTTAAAAAAATTTTTAAAAAAAAACAAAAATTGGTGAAGGTGCATTTACGCCAATCCGCGGTGCCGAGAGCTATACAGTAGTACTTACATCAAAATATGGTTTCCCTGGACGTCATGACTGCCGTCATTTACATGCCCGCCGTCCAGAAGACGGCCAATGTCGCCAGGACGATAACCGAAAAAAAAGTGACGTCCGAGGATGTCTTCCGATCGTGGTACGACTGGAGGTGGACATGGTCGTCCACTGATTCGTTTGGGTCCCTGCAACAAGCTGTCACGAGGGGCAGCACGATCTGGTCTTCCAGCAACTGATGTGCGCTTGTCGGCCGCGGGATAGAACAGCGTCTGGCGGCCACCACTGGCATCCAGGACGCCGGTAACAGCACGGGCCGCCCGGGTCGCCAAGGCACCATCAACAAATGTGGCCGGTTGTCGCTGTCGTAAAATGCACAACTGGTCAACGAGTTTGACGCATGTTCGTCCGGCGACCGCACCGCTTGCTGCAGCAACTCTGACAACATGTTGCTGGTCGAACGTAATATGCTTCGATATTTACTGTATGTTAAGGTATGTAAATTATATTCATACATAATATGTGTAAAACATTAATGTGTATACCTACTGGTTTATAAGGACCTATTTCATTATCAAAGCTAATCACTGTTAACGTTAACCGGAGTTTAATCGACCGAATTTGGCCGGTTACATATATGTTATCAGCCGATTAAGCGTAGATAATCGAAGTTTAACTGTGATTGACTGTGTTGGTGAAATCGGCCCTGAGTATACCTATAATATAGTTACTGATCATGGTCCTATATCAACAGTAAAAATATTTAGATATATATATATTATATATTTAAAGTATTTTCACTCCTTCCTGGACTTTCGAGAATCACCTATTACCTATGGCCGTATATTTAAAAAAGTATATATAAATAGCATTTTTTTAAATAAAGTCGTGAGAAAAATGTCTAAGTATCAGTAATGTAATAACAAAAGAAACAATAAAATTCATGATTAATATTATAATGGAATAGGTATAGGTACATACTACCTATAATACCTACCTTGTATGGAGTATATTAATAAATTATGTTATTCATTAATTCATTATTATATTTAGACATAAGTATAGCATATTTTTTATATTACCTATTGCTGTATAGGTAGTTTTCTGTACGCAAGTGTATGATTTAACTCTAAAGTATCAAAGTTATATCAAGTTTGTCGTATCTAAGTATGGCGGATTTATATAATCAATTAATACAAAATCCTAACCTAACCTGTTGAATTTTTGACTTCCATATTTTCTATTTTTCCGGTAAAAGAAAATTTTAGAAAAATGTTCTCCATGATATACTCATTCGTTTAAAACAAAATCAAGAAAATCTGATAAGTAGTTCCAGAGTTCACTCGGTACAATTATTTTCATTTCACATTTTGTATATAGTTAGAAGATATAATATAATATAAATATTCACAAATAATAATAATACAAATCAACAAACATGCCAGTATCTAATAGCAAGCAATATACAATACACTATTATTATTTTAATCCACAAATAAATTTTTTATTAGTTAGTTTATTTTTTTCTGAACAGATGGTGCAACTGTTGTATTTTTTGACATCCAAATGCTCTACTTTTCTGGTGGATTTTCCTAAAATTGTATTACTTAAAAAAAAATAATAAGCAACATCGGTCCAGCCGTTCACGAGTGAGGCTATTACGAAAGGAAATTGTAATCCATTTATATATATATATAGATTATTAGATTTTATTTAAATAAGAAACAGAAAAGATTCAACAAAACAAAAAAATAAAATAAAATAATAGAATATAAAAAGAATAAAATTATAAAATAAATATATTATTTTTAATTTAAATCAGAAAAAATAATATCAACTAGCAAAACTTAAATCAAAATATTGTATTTCGAATTCAAAATCTGGTTTATATGGTATTATACCTATAGGTTATAGTGCATTATACCATTGTTCAGTATACCATATAATAATTATAATTATCTTCTCTATATATATAAAAATGGAGACAAAAAATTTGAAATGGCATCAGTTGAGAACGGCTGGGCCGATTTTGCTCAAATTTTTTTTAAATGATAGAGAATGTCGGTGAGCGGGTTTATAGCATAAATTACGGACCTAACTCATGTTAGTTAGAGATTTAGAGACAAAAACTTAGTTACACCGGTGGCGCCCTCTAGCGGATAAAAATATAAATATAAATATAATATAAATAATAATAAAAATCGAAAAAAAAATATATTTTTATATTCTGGTTGATATACATTTTTTTATTATAGACACTTATAACTTAAGAGTAAACAAATATAATAGTTGGCACATTATTCATTTTACTTTGAAACATTATCGTTTTATGTTATCTATGAACTTTTTCAATCAAAAACGACTATTGTTTTTTGGAGAGAATTTTTATGCTTGAATCATGCCTCCTATGAGAAGAACAAACATTGGACGGCGTACACGTAATGCAAGAAAGATTAATGAATTTAGACGTGCCCATAATACTCAGGCCAGCGCTGCACAAACGCCGCCTCAAATTCGACAACATGTTATTATAAGAAGAAGAAGAAGTTGAAATTGACCACGAACACGAGAGTTGCGTTGCAAAACGACCCACCGGCTGCCGAATTCTCGAGACAACTGCTGGCGTTTGGTAATGGACACATTCCGATTGATGTTTTGACTGGATTAATATCGTTTCCGGCAAATTTTTGTGAGTTCACATCGTCGAAGGAAGAACTCATTACAAAAGTGTTCCCAAACATTGGTGTCAATTATAACAATCTCGATTGGATGAGTGAACGGGCAATACTAGCAGCGAGGAATAAGGACGTCGATAGCTTGAATTTTACAATTCAGAGTAAAATTGCTGGAGAACTGCGTTCATACAAATCCGTTGACAAACCGACGAAAACGAAGCGGTCAACTATCCGACAGAATTTTTGAACTCGCTTGATGTGCCCGGACTCCACCGCATAATTTACAGGTAAAAGTGGGATCGATCATAATTATGTTGCGGAATCTAAATCCTCCTAAATTGTGTAATGGTACACGATTGTCCGTTAAGAAACTGATGAACAGTGTAATACAATCAACGATCATCAAGGGCAATCGTTGGAAGTCTGTGGGATCAATTTGGAATTTCCATGTTTTTCGCACGGACAGCTGTACGTTGCCAGTTCGCGTGTTGGAAAACCGGCTTCGTTGTTTATTTTTGCATCAGAAAACAAAACGAAAAACATTGTTTATCAAAATGCATTATATTGATTTCTGTAACAATTCATTACAATGGAATACTTGAATTTTATTATCAATATATACTTTATTTGAAGACGTATCAGAATTTTTATTCAGGGCAACGGAAGAGTTAAGATTAATATTGAAACGATACGCCGAATATTAAATAACGAATTGAACAAGGCTTGAGTCACATATAGTTGGTACACTTATAATGGGCAACATATAATGGGCAACGAAGTGCACGGGTTCAGCTAGTCTTAAATATTTATCGTGATAAAATTACAAACACATATTTCAGCTACCTATTTCATCCACTTGATTTTAAACGGTTTCGATAAGTATAAGGCAAAACTACCTGTTTGATTTATACATATATTTTTTTAAAACTACATAATAAATCACATATATATATATATATATATATATGTATATTATATAATTCATAATAAATAATCCAACTTCCAAGATATATATATCATAGTTATGAGTCGTATGAGTGGTATGGCCATATCTCATATTAATCCTTAAAATGTACGGTAGTCCTTGCTCAGGTAAAGTATATTTAATTTTTTTTTTTATTTAAGAAAATTTTTATTATTTGATTAACACAAAATGATACAAAGTATTAAATAAATATTAATACAAATTACCTAGGGAGTCACAGTGTACAAATATGATTTAACTAAATTACATAATTAAATATACGATAGTAAAAAAAAGAAATATACAATATTTTCTTGATTCTTATACCTAATACGTTTTGTAATAGGTACCGAATCATAAACTTAATCACTGAATTATTTAACCTAATAAAATATAATTTATAAATTTACTGATGTTAGTATTATCAATAAAAATATTTATTTTCACATCTATTGGCAAAGAGTTAAAATTAACAGGATAGTTAATGAACTTTTGTCCAAAACTCGTTTTTATGTAGGTACTAGGTATATCACTTTAAAATTAAATAATCAGGCCAGGGGAGGGGGAGGGGAGATCATCTGACCCACAGTATTTTTTCTCAGTTAAATGTGGCCCCTCGAAAAGGCAAACTACATAAACATTTTTTTATTTAAAAAATTATGTACGGTGGAGGATTCGGGGGAAGGGCACTTGTCCCCTGTCAATTATATGCGCCCACTCTATCAAAATATCGAAGATCTGCAGCTGATTATGTACAATGATCAATAATAAAATAATATTAAAAACCTAATAGTAATTTATAAAATGTACACAGGCTCAAGAATGTTTCTATACAATTAAAAATATAATTATATGAATGTTTAAGTATATTATAACGTAGGTTTATATGTAGCCGTGAAGACTGAGTATTGAAGTAAAATAGCGCGTACGAAATCGTGCTTATAAACGTATCAACTTATACAATGTAGCTAAATTCGAAAAACACGAGTATAAAAATATGTCAGATACATTATATAAGATAAAAGATTTTATGAAGTTGACATAAATTAAATTGATATATAATCGGAATACCGTTCATTATGTCTAGTTTGCCAACGAGTGTATGACAATACTATTGAAACTGAAGTAACTGGACCCTTAAAATTTAATGAAGTATTGATAAGTTCATAATATCACGGAGACGTGATATGGTATCATCGTATAAAAATGAATATACTTTGTATAAAATATTTTATACACTTCCAGTCAGCAGTGAAACTTCAGAAAGAAGTTTTGGTCGTCTAAAATTTCTTAAAACTAAAGCATTTTAGATTACCTATAAAGGATTATTTTTTTATCGTGAAACTGGTTCACGATAAAAAAAATCACCGTGCATAACTATTTAAGTATATAAAAAGGTATAGTTATAAGAAAAAATTATTTAGCTCTTGTAAATTAGGTATTTCAGTCAAAAGTATTGATGCATATTATACAAAAATTTAGAGGACCCTAGTTAATAACTTAGATAACCAAAATTGATCTTTTGACTGTCAAAATGTTCAGAAAAAAAGCTTTACCCAGAATCCATCCAAAAACATAGTGGTTACCATTTGAAAAAATAAAGTCGATCTTATAATTGGTACAAATGTTGAAAATGTTATAAAAAAAATTTTCTGTTAAAAATAAAGAAACACTAATATTTTTGTTTTAACGAAATTCCATATCATCGATCCATAATTGTTGAAAAAAAAAGTATAAACCTGCTTACAATGACATACGAATATAAGATACATCTAGTATATTTTTTGTATAGTAAATAATTATACAATAATATAAAAAAATGATACAATTATTTTGAAGTTAAAGTTGAAAAGGGGCCTACTATGTGTATGATGTCCCGGGGCCTAATTAATCCGGGATTGCTCAAAACATGCCTTCGCTCAACCATGACTGAAGATCGGCTATCAAATTTGGCCATATTGAGCATAGAAAGCAACATAGCTCAAACCATTGATTTTGATTTTGATTTTGACATTTTCACTAATGAAAAAGCTCAAAAAATGTATTGTAATGTTCTAGTTCTCTACTAATATTTTCATTTAGGTATTATAAAATATAAATTTATAAATGTATTGTTTTTGACTTAATTTGTATTGTATTAGAATTTAGAACCACTTTCTACATCTCTTGTGAAAATGAAACCAGTCAATTAAAACTAAAATAAAATAAATATACTGCAAATATACATGAAAAAATAAAATAATAAATATGTATAATCCTTTCTTGAAATAATTTAAATGTTTCAGGTAAATTTTTTAATTGATTATACATTTTAATGCAACAAATAAAAATAACAATTAATTAAATATAGCTTCAATACTAAAGCTTGTAAGTAAAATTTACATTTTACTTAAACATTTGTTATGACTCATGTAATATAGTTGAATGTTGGTATCAAAATGTGATGTAAATAACTAAGGCAAATCGTGAGCGCACTGGGCGACATTGTAATACCTAGTTGGTTGAAGTTTCTAGGCCTCTCGTAAGTAAGGCAGACCCACAGTTCTAAAATCCTGGGTAAGCCACTGAATCGGACTATAGTTTGCGGCACTATAACTGCTGTTCGTGCACATGTGTATAAGAACCAAGAGAGTACCTAATAGCAAATTCTACTAATTAATGAAATTACCTACAAGACATTTCAAAAACAGTATATATTAATTGATTCATAAATATCACAATAATTGTAGGTATATAAAAATACAGTTTTTAAATTATTAAAAAGTAGGAATATCGTATACCTGGTATTCAATTGTCCATGAAAAAGAAACATGTAAGCTTTCTAACATTAAAAATAAATTTAAAGACCGTAAAGCGTTGGACCAGGGCGGAGGCCATTCTTTTGGCACGACACAAGACACGATCATAACAAGTTCGGGCCTTGACAACAACGTCTTCGACCGTCGCGGCCGAGAACATGGATCAAGTCTGCTGCGATAACGGATATATAGCCGTCAAAGACTTATACAACATGTAAGTAAACGGCGTCCTGTGTATAAGTTTAAAGTGGTGTATAGTGCTTATACCGAGCGTATGGACAGCTGCAGCTGGTGCCGTGGTTAATAGGTGGGTGTCGGGTGGTATAATATATTTTGTAAAATTGTCCATAAATATTATTACACCTATAAGTATTATGTAGATTATAGATATATTTGTCAATGGATTTGATACTCGGAGAAAGCATCCACCTTGTTTGTTCTATAGTTAATACTATACTATACTAATACCACTTGGTATTTTATCATTGTAAAGTGTCGCCGAAATCCAATCATGTTTAATATGTATGATAGCTTATGCGTATACACACATAATTTTTCTGAGGGGTGTTAAAACTGTAAAATGTGAGGATTTGGAAGGTAACTGGTAACCACTCTGCTGTAAGGTTGAATTCATTCTTAGTAAAAATATTGGATATTATATTTATTAAATTATATTATTCTTAATTGTTATAATTGCATTAATGTTACGTTATATATATATATATATTTATATGTTTTGTTATTATCATAATTATATTATTATTAACTTTTGGTCAACACAAATTTTTCGTTGATCGGTCAACTTGGTTGGGTTCGTGTTATACCCAACGTATAAATATCCAATAAACTTAAAATATTATCTTTAAATTAATATATGCAACTGCTCACATCGAATACGTGTGTTGTAAAGCATTGAAAACCCTTGGTCTTGTCATCCGATTAATAAAGGATTTTCGGCTTGAATCGTCATTAAAAACACTTTTCTGTGCGCTTGTGCACCCCATTTTAGAATATGGGATCGTAATATGGGACCCTCATACTGCAGACAACGCAAGACAAATTGAGCGTGTTTAGCGCCGGTTCCTACGCTATGCTAGTCATATACTTAAGATACCTTGTGCACCTCATAACTATACACCGGTTGCTAATCATCTTGGTATGGTATCCTTAGCCGAACGTCGCCGTGTCGCAGGTCTTAAATTCCAAGGGGGTCTTTTAAACAATACTATAGATTCTCCAGTCCTTCTCTCGAAAATCTCCATTAAAGTTCCATCCCGTCCATCCCGCTCAAAGGCCCTCTCCTATGTCCCACACGCCACCACTAACTATATGACTAATGTGCCTTTAAGACGCCGAATGTCGTCTGCCAATGCAGAACCATCATTCGACGAATTGCTAAATTTTTAATATACAAATTTAAGTTAAAGTTTTTTATTTTAATGTTTAAGTTTTTATTGTCATCAGATAATTGTATTTCATATTAATGTAAGCTGTATATATTTCATTTAGTTTTGTCTAATTGTAAAATTTCTATCATGATATAAAATATACATTGTAATGTCAAAAAGGGCTAAGCCCGTATAACAAATAATAAATAAATAAATAAATAAATAAATATTTTGAAAACGTCATTATGTATATTTAAATATAAAAGTTTACATGAAAGCTTTAAGTCCCATCGAATAATATTTTTAAATTAGGAAGAACGAAATAACTAAAATCGTTATTCTTCATTTAAATATCTAATGTTATATCAATTTCAATTTCAATGCCTATATTTTAATGTTTTTTAGTTTCCAGTATGAAATATTTTAGAGCAACTTAGTATTTCATTAGCAAGTCCTAAATACCTACACCTAATGTATTTTAAATGCATTTCAACTGCATAGAGAAAAATTTAAAGGGGACCTGTTATCAATTTATAAAATATCATGGCGAGCCTAAAATTATTTATAAAAACGGGATTTAAATGTTATCAATTATTAAATATTACATTATTAATGGGTATATATAGTACCAAATTATGACCTAATTAATTTAATCATCAACAGTGCGTGATTTGTGTTTTAATAAATTAAGAGAATGTCAGCGCAATATTAATTTTCTATCTCAAGCCCGGTCGGACCTACGCCCCCCCCCCCATACACGCCACATAAATTAAATGCATTTACGTTAAATCGTTTTTTATGATTTTAGAGTAATCTTTGAGTAAAATAACCTTAGGACTCTTTTTCCAGTACATCTTGAAGATATGAAATATGTACCACTGCACCTGTTATTTATTTTCAAATGGATTATATTAATAATATTATACTGACTACAATAAATTAGTACTTATACCATAATAATATAACGGGAACACGGAACCCTGTATAGGCAATTAAGCTACATTACTGTCGAGCGAGTCCATCTTTCCGGTATCTCAAAATTAATTATTATTGGTAAATAGTCAATTTTTTTTTTAACTATGATAATAATATATCAAATATTAATATAATTTATATTTATAATAACTATAGTTTTTTAATGTATTTAAATTATTATAATGATATTGTAAAGCTGCCCTATTCAAACACGGAACAAACAGGAGTTTATCATTATTTCCGCTAAATAACCAGTGGCGGTTCTAGAGTATGGGCAGGGTGGGTAGCTGCTCATACCAAAATTACTGGAGCAACTTATTGGGGAAAGGGGAGGAAATGAGGAAAATTATTCACAGTTAAAACCTAATAACAAATCTACTGTTGCCCATTACCAAAATAAAGTAATAGAACTGAGCCTGAAAATAATTAAATATTTTTTTAGATTTTTTTGGTTACAGTATAAATTACATATGAGAAATCTTGTTATAAATTGTCGGTTCTTAGCTATAAAAACGGTACATTTTATAAATTATAACCTACAAAATTATATTTTTATAAATTTTATCTCAAAACAATTTGCAGACGAATTTTGTCAAAATTCTAACTATGGACGCTCATCATAAAATAACTATTTTGGATATATGTTAATTTCCTCTAACAAAAACTTATGAACCTTATATTACATTTTAAGTTTCTTAATCTAGTAAAAACATTATAATCGAAAAATACTAAAATTAAGAATTAAAGAATTATTTCGACTAGTTATACTTATTTTGTTTATCTAAATACACACGTCACACACACACAATGCACATTGGTAGACCACGACACTCGGAAACTAAGATATTACTCTATAATGCTCTCTAAATTAAAAATAATATTATTTAACATACCTAAATAGTAATTTAAAACCATTATATTATAATATTGTACTTGAAAACTATGGTCCTGGAGGTCTCAAGAAATTATTTATAATCATATAGGTCGGTACAGATTTGGCCCTATTAATATTATTATGTAGTTGCAATATCATTATACATACGATACCTACGGATTGAAAACTATGTTTACTGCACTGTGCTATCTGGGGGAACTGATTAGCGACACGCATAAAAAAATTCTAATTTTCCAAAGTTAAACATCAAGAATTATAACGAACGCACCAGGGTTCATACGAAACGATAATCTACACAAGGACCTCAAAATTATGAAAATTCAAAACCATATAAAACCCCTTGCAGTAAATTTCCATAGTTCACTAAGTTCCCTTCATAAATTAACAGGCTCATTACTCTTAAATGTACACATACCTCCACCACTTCAAAGACGTCTCAAACGCAGTCGCCCACACGATCTTATTACCTAGTTAATTATTATGAAGCATATATGATAAATTATAAGTCGAATTATATTCTTAACCTTACACTCTACGCTATACATTAATGTTGACCAACCTTAATTAGGTATAAGTATCACTACTATTGTTACTATAATAACTATCATGTTAAAATTGTCAAAATAAACATTGTGGACTGCACTGTAAATCAAGAATTGAACCTTTATGATTTTATCGATTTGGGTTTAGGTTTTGGTACTCAAAAACCCAAAATTAGGGTTTCGGTTCTGGTTTTGGTTTTTAAAAATATCAAATTTTGGTTTCGGTTAATACCGGTTTTAACCCTTATCATTTGACTTTTTTTATTTTATTTTGATCAATTATTAAGTACCTACTATTTAAAAAAAAATAACATATTAATAACCTCTATTTAGTGACAGGTATTTGTAATTAAGTGTAACTATTTCAGAAGTCAGGTAATATTACAAAAGATTAATTATTAAAAATAATAAATCAAAATAAATAAATACATTTTAATATTTAAAATAAATAAAAAATTATTATTAAAAATGTTATAAGTATGCATTTTTGACCCACTTGGGCGACCCATGTTTCAGTTTGATATAATAATTTATAACTTAAAAATATAAATGTAAGCAATATAATATAATGGTAACGAAGACTGATGAACAGTTCAATAGTAGGTGCGGTCGAAGTGTCGTACAGAGCATAGTATATAGAGTAAAGAGGATACTGGGCATTAGGTTTAGGTATTAATATTATCACTGCAGCCATATTAGAGTAAAAATTATAATTCAAAAATTATATGACAACTTACTCTGAATTCTGATTCTGAAACACGTATAAACGTCCAAATTGCTATTAATTTTCAGAAATTCTACACCAGCTATTGCGAATTGCGATTTGCGATTCAATAATAATATTGGTATAGATTACATGGAAATTAAAATTTGGATTTTTGGTATTTCTTTTATGACAATTCTGTTGTACACATAATAATATTCTTATTTCTTAGCATTGATAAACTTTTATAGGTCTACGATTTTATATATATTTATTGTAACTATAATAAGTAATACATATCTTATAACTTATTAGTTATTACCTACTTACACCATAGATAAAATATCTAATGGGTTTTAAACAGAAAAAAACCGTAAAAACCTCTACATCAAAATATAGTTTTTTTTTTTACTTTACCTATATAATATGTACCAATATTTATCATACGATTTATTTAATTAATTTTTGCATAAAACCATTAACATTAATGTCTTTGCTATATTTTAACTTTTTATTAATAATAAAAAAAAAAACAGATATATAATATGGGTTTTATTATTTGCAGAGTTGAAAAGGTTTACTATTCCTGAACTGTGCAAATCAAAATTTTCCTCAAAAAATCAAGAAGAAACAGAAAATGATGAACAACAAGACGTTACCGAGGAGAATGAAGCAAGCGAAGTGTTGGCTTAAGTTAATCTTGAATGTTGAAATTTGAAATAAAATAATAAATAATAATATAATATCCGGTTGGACGCATACTTTAGTATTACTCGTAGCCCGTAGGTTCCAAATGCGGTTATTGTCACTTTTAATAAGCTTTAAACTTTCAACTTTTATTCGTTTATTTTATTGATGTCTGTTTTATAGTTTTTAATTATTAAATAGCCTTTATGCACGTATGTTATAATTTATGTTATATTCATTTACAAATAAATATAAATTCAATTTTAATACAATACTTACTATTTTATAATAAATTAGTATCGCAATTAGTTGTGGAAATTACCTCCCACTAAGTATAAATAATTGCAGTGTTATTAATTTTCCTATAGATAATGTTATTACTTATTAGTTATGACTTTTATTAAAAAAAAATATAGTTGTAGTAGGTATATTACATATTAATACTTTAGTTCAAAAATCATTTAAGATAATATATGTTTTAAGATTCATAAACAGGAATACGATTAATTTTTAAAATATTGACTCATAATGAAATATTTTTTAACTTCAGTATAATATTTCTAAATTGATATTCAACTTACCGTACTTTTAATTTTTATTACCAAAGGGACTATACCTAACCGTTTATAAATAAACAAATAAATAAATATTTATATAGCAATATCATATCAGTTTATGTACCTATTAATCAATATTATAATAATATTATAATTATCATTACAATTGTATATATTTATAATTATTATTAATTATTATTTTTCACAGCTATACCCAACAGTATGGTTAGTTATAGCTTTGGGGATTTTTTTTCCTAGATTCGCTTGTGCGACGCCTCTTAGTACTAACAATTATTTATAAATTACAAAATAATTTATAAACTTCTGTATTTTTGATGAATTTTGTATAAAGTATATAAAATAAAACATTTTTAACCTTGGGGTAACTATATCCTAGTATATTTTAACCCTGCAGTAGTTAACTTTATACCGGTATTTTTTTTACACCCTGACGCTTCGATTTTTACCATAAGGTTTAATTCAATTTACTTGGCATTATGTTTACAATATTACATATTTATAGTGCTTAAAGATGTGGTTTTTACTTCGCAGTTTTTTTAAACGGAGTTCGACGAAGTGTTTTTGTTGTGCTTATAATTTACGCAATAACCTGTTCCGAAATAATAAAGGTATTTAATTATAATATTGACAATTTATTCGTAAAACCTAACATTATGCAAATAATAATCGAAATTCATTACACAATAATATAATATTAGGTAGGGTACGAAAACCACTATATTACATTTTTTATAATATTATAATATAAGAGCGTGGCGGTCGGCGGCGGCGGCGGCTGCTCGTCGAATGGTCTTCATTACTGGATGACACAATACGCAGCGGCCGACAGTCGCGATAGTAGATGTGCCGACGCCGCCCGAACAGTGTGCGTACACAATGAATGCCATCCGATTGTATTTCACCGCCACCGTGGCGTTTCTCGTTGTCGCGATCGGCGGCAGAGTCACGTCCTCCATGAATAATACCGTGAGGGTCAGGAAGTGCTGCCCGGTGGATCGGATGTACGATCCGGAAGCGCGGTTCTGCAGACTGGTCGGGACGGACGTTGACGAGTACGAGCAGAGGTTGATGAATCGACTGCGGCGCGGATTCCGGGTGGAAGCCTATGAGACGTTGAAGATATACCATGACGTGCAGTTATATTGCATCGACGGGGAAGAAGTGCTGATCGACGTGCCCGCCGAGGAGATGCCTGGGCTGATGGAGGCGCACCCGTCGCCCATTGTGTTGCCCTCGGGCTACTGCTTCGATCTGACGCCGTCCGATAAGCTGGTGGCCCGGACGTGCCGGCCACGCATCCAGTATTGCGGCCGGGGCAAGTACACATGCGTCAACAAGTGCTGCGATAACGGAGATATAATGGTCTACGACCCCAACTTGTAAGTACACAGCGTCCTATGTGTAAGTTTAAAGTAGTAAACGGATGGTGGAAGTTAGGAGTTGTCCTGATTGGCAACATTTTGATTGTGTGTACATACACACAGTGGGGCTGAGGACATGGTTTTAGTCTGGCAAGTTCCAGACCTAATTTAAGATATGGGTGTTGGATGGTATAATATATTTTGTAAAAATTATATAATATATAATATTATATAATATAATATACCTAATATATTATAATTATATAATATTATACCTATAACTTATAAGTATTATACGTAGATTATAGCTATATTTATCAATTAATTTTATACTCGGAGAAAGCATCCACCGTGTTTGTGCTATAGTTGCCAGGTACCAACTGGTATTTTGTCATTTTAAAGTGTCGCCGAAGTACAATCATGTTTATGTATGACAGGTAATACCTATATATATATATATAATTTGTCTGTGTGGTAGATCCTTAGGTAGGAGTGAAAATGTAAAATGTGAGGATTTGGAATGGTAACTGGTAACCTGCACTCTGCTGTAAGGTTGAATTCATTCCTGGTAAAAATATTACATTTTATTAAATTATATTATTATTAATTGTTATAATTGCATTAATGTTAAGTTACCGCCTAGTACCTATATATGCATATTTATATGTTTTGTTATTATCATATCTACTTTCTATAGATTGGTCAACTGTGTTGGGTTCGTGTTGAACCCAACGTATAAATACCCAATAAACTTAAAATACAAGCTTTAAATGAATAAAAATATTTTGAAAGCGCATAATTTTTTAAATAATACTTTTAAAAGTACACATAATTTTTTTTTAAATATACTTCAACTGCATAGGGAAAAATGTATGTGGGATCTTGTATCAACTTGTAAAGTATCTTAGCGAGCTTAATATTTTTTATAAAAACTTCAAAAATACCTATAAATATCTTAATAATTATTCATATAATTTGGAAATTTAATTCAGTATAGAAAGTTACAATTTAATAACAATGAAATGTTTCAAGATACGATCAATATTTGTAGAATATTGACAAAAATAGCATAGGGTTAAATTAAAGTGTTGAATTTAACAATAAACTTCTTTTTTTAATTTCCAATAAATTACTTTTGAGGAAATCTAGTATTAGATTTTCAGACATAAGGTCATAAAAATAGTATGAATTGTATTCTTGGTAAGGAAATGATAATTTGCGTATTTCCATGGTTTTAATTATTGAATAAACATTTTGACTTTGGTGATTATAAAAAAAATTGTATTTTTTAATTTTTAATTAATGTATGAAAAACATCCAAATTTGAAAATAAAATAACCATAAAAAATACCGTTTTGATTTTTACAGTGTAGTCATTTTTTTGAGATAGGAAAAAGGATATTATCTACTATTGAAGGCGGCACCATACAATTTGCGCTTGCAGTCAGTACTACAATCGCATAATGTGTAGTATTTTACGTCTTAGAGGGCTGTAATCTATATAGGTAGATTAGATAAACATATTATTTATCAATCTTTTTTAACGCTGCTTCACACAAAATGTGCAATAATTTTAAAAATATTTAGCATTTACAATTTTGTTATCTTTATTTTTATTTAAGCTGTTTTGATTGCTGCTTAAATTAAAATTAGTATAAAGTATAAATTATAAATTGATACATACATGATTATAAATTGAAAATAATTTTGGCGCGATTCCACTGGTAAATCGTCATTGTTACTGCAATATATTTTTGTAGACATATTATCATATAGTATTATAAGTTTTAACAACTGGGATTACTGGTTTGGACTTGAATCGAAAACCTGTCCCAGATTATTATATACCATATAATATTATATCCATTTCTTACCTACGTCAATTCTATTTTAAATTTTTTTCAGTTTCGATTTTGTGACTATACGATTGTCTTAAAAAACATATTGTACCTATGCCAACAATAAATTTCGGGTTCACTTATGTTCTGTAGACGTATTTGGCTGGTATATAAATATTAAATACGTAGGTACTTCAGTGGCGGTTTTGGCAATAATTTTCTGAGGAGGCGATAAATAATTTCACTTAAGTGACCCGTGGGGGGCTTAGCCCCCCACACCCCTGACCCTATTTAACAAGAAATAAAACCAAGAGTAAATAATCTGTGATCATCTGTATAAACACTAGAAACAATAGGAAGTTGGGACTAGAATATTATACTTATACTTATAATTGATAACTTATAAAATAATTGCATAGGGACTAATCTGTAACCACTAATGATTAATACAAGTTACAACATACAATATTAATAATTATACTATTATAGGATTGGTAACTATACATTTTCATAATTATTTACTTTTATACATATAGAGAAATACGATTTATTTTGATAATAATTGAAATGAAGCAGTTTTGTGATTGTGTCATTGTGACAAGCCGCGAGGTTGATCCTTATCACGGAAGGAGGCGAAAACACTTATTGCCGCCCAACTATCAAAGCGCATGCGCAGTTTAAATGATTGTTTACGTGTGTGAGTGTGTAATTTCGTGTACACTTTGATAGCACAGTAGGCGACAGAATCGGTTGCCGCCTCAAGCCTCTACTGTTGTAGAACAGTACGAAAATAACGTAATATTTTTAATATTTTTAAAGCTATTCCTGTCATTGAATATAGTATACATAATTGGCCATTATAAGGGCGCATGACATCCGTTTTAAACATTTTTTTTCAACAATGCAATCATATTTGTACATTGATGATATAAAATAAAAAAAAAATTATAAAACAATTATTTTTTAATCGAATATAAAATTTCTTTTTTCTTTTTTCTTTTTAACTTTTCAAGGGAGGCGGTGCCTCCCTTGCCTCCTCGGGAAAACCGCCACTGGGTACTTAATAAAAGTCAGCGGTACCAACATAATAACGATCGAGGAAAAACGACGAATTTTTTACTTTCTTATTTCGTGTACCTACATTTGTTTTCATATATTATATAATGATACTAGCTAAATGGTAATTTTTAACTTAGGTAAGTTAAGTTAATGGAAAACATTTAAAAAAG